TATGCATTAATAAGGTCGTTACAACCGTCCCAACAATCAACTAACACTTTCAACAGAAGAAGACATTACTAAAAGCTGATTTTGTTTTGCCATACCCCAAGTCCAACATCATGAGAGAAGAAAAAACTAGAGTACTATTTGATTGTAAAATTAAGATGAATAGCTCCTTTTAAAATGAAAGATTCAAATAATCTCTTTGACACAATAAAGCAAAATATCCATTAAGAAAAATAAAATGAAATGGTTTAGTGACTTACAGAATTAAATAATTGATAATATATGATGCCACACACGATTTTAAAAAATGAAATAGATTAGTTGTAGGATTAAAAGACTCTTTTTGTGTGTCAAACCAATGTGAGAGCTTGGTAATAGGCGTGACTCTAGGTGATTATTATGATTATTATAAGTGCACTGTTAAAATTTACAAGGAAACAAGAAAGCATCATCAATTTATATAGCTCTATGTAAGAGGTGTATGTACCTTTGTATGAATGGAAAGCTACATGAGACAAGTGTAGATAATGGGAGCAAAAGGCCCTCTCACCTCAGTAATCCACTTCACTGTTGTCTCTCTTAGAATTATGACCAATGCTTTCTTCAAAATCTTAGGCATTCTGTACCCAGAAGAACAACTTATGTTAAAGGTGCAGAGAGCCAGGACAAGCGTAACATACGGATAACAAAGGGTTTTTAACAAGAAATAGGCAAGAGAGTTTGATCATGCCTTCAACTAGATAATTAAGAACAAGGGGAAAAAAATTAAAATGTGAAAAGTACACAGAGGAAGTATTTGGAATTAATGCATTCCTTTTTCGTGAACAACTATCGTATACTACATATAAGGCTGCCCTCCCAGCATTCTTTACCCCTACATTCTGACAATTTCACTTCTTGCAGTTTTGGGTGCGTATAGTTCGCCGGTCCTAATCAAAATTAGAGATGTGTTTGGCATTAGAAAACAAGGCTGTTTTCTATCTTCATTTTCTTTCAAAAATTAAAAATGAGTAAAAAATTTATTTGGTATTTGACAATAAAAATAAAAATTATTTTTTAGAAATATAAAAAGGAAAACATAAGAAAAGGGAAAAGGAAAACACGGCGCTCCTTAATTGAAATGGAAGAAAATTGAACATGGATGGACTTCTATGAGATAAGTAAAAATATATGCATTAAAACTGTTTATTGTTAAAATTGACCAGCTATATAAAACCCAGCATCAGATGGAACTTATGGAAGCTTAGATCTACAAACTGATGGCTCTCTCTCCGATGGCTTCCTCACTCCGGTAGCTTCTTTCGGTGTCGCCTCGCTTTCCGCTGCCATAGAGTTCATTGCCGGTGATTTGGGATCTCTTTTTTCCCGGAAGAGGAAACTATCGACTAACTCTCTTTTGGGATCTCCTCCTTTCCAATTTGGGAACTCATTTAAGGGGCATGTTAACTTACATAATAGGAGTCTGTTAAGTCCATCCAACCTAAAATTAATTGGAAATAGGTGGAATGGTTTTTCTTGTATTTAATTTTTATATTTTTATATTTGATATGGGATTTTTCCACTTAATAGACTCCTATTATGTAAGTTAACATGCCCCTTAAATGCAGGCCTGATATCTTCAACTTCGGATCCTGTCAGGTGCCATGTGAAATTAAACTTGCATTCAACCTAAAATCAATTGACAATAGGTGGAGTATCCCTCTTTATATTTAATCCACAAGTTTTTTATTTTTATATTCGATGTGGGATTTTTCCACTTAACACGTCCCTTCACGTGCAGGCTTGCTATAAATATCGGGTTCTGTCACGTGGGTTAACACATCCCCTTAAATGCAGATCCGATATCTTCAACTTCAGGTCCTGTCAGGTGGGCTAACAATGGGCTTTTCAAGGTAGAACTTGGACTCTGATACCATGTTAAAAACTGTGCATGTGGACTCAATACAAAATTTGCATCCAACCTAAAACCAAGTAGCAATAGGTGGAGTGGCCTTCCTTATATTTAATTTTTATTCTTGATATTGAATTTTCCCACTTAAAACGCCCCCTCATGTGTAGACCCGCTATGAATATGTCGAGTCCCATCATGTAAATTAACACTCCTCTCTTTCTGATTTTGTTTTTCATATTTTCAATTGAATTCTGTTGCGGTTCTATTGTTCTAATGTCAATATGAATAGTTGTCGTTTCCTGCTGTATTAAATTTTTAAAAATTATTGAACTAAGATGGATTTTCATATTTTTTTCCCTGATTTTCATTTATGGGTGCAGGTTGTGCTCGCAAGTTCTTCTGGAATTTGGCTGATCATGTGGGATAGCCTTTTAGATTAGTTTGAGCAGAATTTTCGTATGAATTAAGGAGTTGTTACTTGTTAGCTTGGTGATCCTACTTTGATTTCTTAAACAGTATGAGTATTTGATATTATACTTCTTTTCATGGTATGAATTAAGGAGTTGTTAGCTTGGTTAATCCTACTTCGATTTCTTAAGCAATATGAGTAACTAATATTATACTTCTTTGCATCTTTTTCTCTGAATTTCATAATTAAGTCTACTGATCAGCCTTAATGAAAGAAAACATCCTCTTTTCTTCATGATCTAGACCCATACCCATAATAATTAGAAGAAATGGATTCCCCTGCGATATATATTTTGGTGTACTTGTCATATGCACTGTAAGAAGATGATGAAGATCAGTATCACCAATCTACTAAATATTAAATCATTAATTACATGATTAATCCACTTTTATTATATGTGCGGGTGCGGATGCTGATGTAGACAAGGCAGCTAAGCTGGTTCATGATGACCTGTTATTTGATCAAGTACACATTTATGTATATATATATATATATATAGAGAGAAAGGCATAATTCATTTACACACAAATCTTACAAATCACACTTATACAAAATTTTGCCCATTCATTTCTTCACTTTTAGTAGATGGGATTTACCATGACTTTTTAGATAAAAAGATAATTATATTTGATAAATATAAATAAATTTTAACCATTGAAAATGAAAAAATAAATTATTGGGATTTTGTGTAATCATGATGTGTAAGACTTGTGTCTAAGTAGATCCTGCTCATATATTTGTGTATGTATGTATTTATGCATGGCAAAGTTTTAATCACCCCACTTACTATTTGGTTCAATTAAAGAGATAGGTATCAAGGTAGAGAAGTAGGACTGGGAGAAATTGTGTGCATGTAGCCTCTTACAACAGTATCCTTACTGCAGCTGGATTGGCTTCTTCTACTGTTGGTTTTTCATGTCTGGGTAAAATACCGTTTAGTTGTCATTGAATAGGAAAACTACTGTGGTTCTATTTGTAGTGTTATGGTTTTGTTAGTTGTTATGTGTTTATACCTTCTAATACTTAGAATTTTATGATCCAAGATCTGGGTTGGTTAAAAAAAATTCCCTTTTTTTCATTTTTATTTTGTTCAATGCAGTTTCTTTCCTTACAAAGCTGATGAATCTGAAAGAAGATCAGAGAAAGGGTTGATTACAGTCTTTATTTATTTCAAACTGCTAGTTGCCCATGTGTCTTTGTGCTTATTATTTTTTCTCATTAATCAAATATAGCTGCTACGTAGTTGCTTTCATAATACATTTATGATTATGCATGCCTTTAGTAATTTGAGATATAAAAAATTTTGTATGAAATTATGGAAGAAATGAAAAGGAGAAGACTTTGTTCTGCTTTGGTAGTGAAGCTAGGTGAGGGAGGGAAGACTTTTCTTGGTTAGCTGTGAAGCTAGAAGAGGCAGAGAATTTTTTTCTGGAAAGATGTTTGGGAGGGTAAGAGGGAGCTTTCTAGGTTTCTTTTTTTT